TAGATATTGGTGTGGAAGATACCAACATGAAAGGAGAATCTGCTCTGCAGAGGCATAGAGCACGTCTACGTAAATAGGGTTGGTTTGTGCTCACTCAGTCATGTTGGACTCATTGCAGCCCCAAGGACTGTAGCCTGCCAGGTTCTTCTGTCCATGGAATTTTTCAGGCAAGAATATTGGAGTGGGTTGCCATGCCTCCTCCCGGGCATCTTCCTGACCCAGAGTTCCAACCAGTATCTCTTGCATCTCCTGCATTGGCTGGTGGATTCTTTACCACTAGCGCCACCTGAGAAGCCCAGAGACCAGGGGACTTACCTTAATACACCTTAAATAGCTGTAGTTTAGACTTCATTACTTGGGTGAGCACAAGACCTAGGCTACAGGGACCTCAGAAACATACATGACTCTATCACCATGGAGCCAGGGAGACAGGAAAGCAGGAATTGTGTCCTCTTCATCATAATCCTTAAAGCTAGCATCACACCTGAAAGAGAGTTAGCTTTCAAGCATTTGATGAAGTATTACAAAGAGGAAGAAGGAAGGAAGACAGGAAAGGAAAAGAGAATTATGAAAGGATCTCCCTATTCAAGGTCAACTGCACTATGCAACATAACAGGAGTGATGTCTCACATTCAAAAGTTCCAGGGAGTGAGGTGTAGAAGACATCTTGAGGTGAGGTACTTCAGAAATTCTGTCAACCATAGTTCCCTACCTTCATTGAGACCCTGATTCTGCTTCCTAGGAGAAAGGCCCATGTCCCATGTCTACTGTTCTGTGTAGCTCTTTGTTGGATAGAATCTTCCTTGGCCACATTTGTAGTGGGAATTACAAATTCCCCCAAGGCTTCCTGGGGGTAGCACAGCTTGTACAGTCTGCTTTCTGCTGATGTGAGCTTAGGATGCCAAAAGTTGTTTTCTAACTTAACAATTGAAGGAGGTTTTAGTCGTGGCTTGTATCTCTTTGTAAATACTGCTGCTGCTAAGTCGCTTCAGTCATGTCTGACTCTGTGTGACCCCATAGACGTCAGCCCACCAGGCTCCCCCATCCCTGGGATTCTCCAGGCAAGAACACTGGAGTGGGTTGCCAGTTGTAAATACTACTCCTTCCCAAACAGGATTCTGGTCTATTTGCTTCCATTTGATATCACGTGCCAGTAATCATACCCCAAATCCTTTCCCAGTCACAATGCTCAAGATGATTTTTTTTTTTTTGGTCTCAGCCCCATGCCCCTCTCTCTAATTTAGTGGTGGCTATTGAGTTCATTTGAAAACCCAGATGGAAGGACCATATCCTGACTCTGACCTTTACCATAGGGCTGATCTGATCTGGATTCAGCTAAAAAGTTTTCCTTGTTCTTTTTCACTCAAAGCTCTTTTCAGTCTAATTGGGCTTTAGAAACAATAAGGTTTTCTAACCCTTCAGTCTAAGAACTCTGTATCCTTTTTCCTTTCTGTTTCTGTTTCAATTTATCCACTTCTTTCCCAAGTACTTCTTTTTCTTGTAATCTCTCTCAAAAGTCAGCCAAAAAGGGTTCAGATACTTCAATAGTCTGATTCTTTTCAGCCACTTCTCCTAGAGCTATAGGTTGCCCATGGACTGCCTTTAAGTTATCATGGGTAAGACTCTACCTATTACTTTTGTTTTATTCACAGCACAGGTCACCATATTTCCAGTCCCTGATATCCAGTGTTCTGGTTTCCTGCCGCTTGATTGCTAAGTCAGTGTCTCCTATTTTGAAAATTTGTCCTTGAAGTTCCCTATTTCTGCTTCTGTATGTGTTAGTCAGGGTAGGCTAACTGTTATAATAAACATTCCTGAATTTCTGTGGCTTAATATGCTAAAGTCTTATTCCTTGCTTGTCAGTTGAATTCTGTGAATGCCCATACGAAGACTCGGGTCCTACTTAGAGGTGCCACCAACTTCTTGGCCCTCAGTCTCTGAACTGAATGCTCTGAGTCTGGCAGGCAGAAAGGGGACTACAGGGAATATAAGGTACTGCGCACGAGAGTCTGTTTAGGAAACTGGATCTGGAAGGTTCACATTTGCTTGCCCCTTGCTGCAAGAAAAGATGAAAAAGATTGTCTAGCTGTAGAAATCAGATTGGTAAAAGCGTAGCAGTCTCTATCACAGAAAAAATGTACTAAAAAAAAAAAAACACAACACAAAGACCAGGAAGATATGGGAAACTAGGGTCAGGAATGAGGATGAGGAGAGGAATTGATCCAGCCCCTGGAAGTGATCTGGTGACCCAAGGACTGGGAGGCTCTGTCACCCAAAGGTAGCTTCTAGTTGAGAGTTGGGCAAGGTTCTGACTCAGCTCCACAAAATGAGGAGGCATTTGGCTGCTGCCAAAGGTTTGGAAATGTGCTTTTATTTTCAAACTCAGGTACGTGACACTCTATAGTTCAATGCTAGCACACCTGTGTGAGGTTTAACAACATTAGGAACTGCCAGCCAGTGATACATAAACCCCGCATCTCCCTCTCCTCTTACTGCGCCAGGCTGTGCACGGGAGTGACACAGAAAGTGGAGGTCCTTTAGGAGGGGACAGAGCGGCACCAACTGCTGAGTCCTAGGGCCAAGCAGAAATGTCAGACCTCAGAGGCATGGTGAAGGAAGGGGACTTTTATTTCTGACCATTATCACTCACTATTGCACATACAGGGCCTGTTTCTCTCCATTTCACTGCTGCTTTGGCAACAGTTCCAATTGCATTAGGTCCATCTTCGCTTTTAAGAAATACCGAGGAGTCCTGTTTCAGGAATGCCCTTGGTAATGTGATTACTTGTTTGTTCCTTCTGGTCACTTCTTGTCCTTGACCTCCCTTAATCATACAGTTGTTTGGCTGAGGGCCTGGTCTGGAAGCATTCTTGCAGGCCTTTCTATGAAGCGGCTGGAGGCTCAAGAGCTCACTGCAGCTCCTCTCCTGGCCTTCGTCTCAACCGGAAACAAAGGTGGGAACCCTGTGGCCAAGTGGGCAGTGGGTCAGCTCAGCCCGGTCCTTCTTCAAGGCAGGCTGAGACTGGCCAGCCCAGAGTCCTGCCTCACAGCCACACTCTCTGGAGCTCTGTTTACATCCTGCCTTTGTCTCTGAGGACCTAAAGCTCCTTCGGTGTGTCTGATCCCCCGTGAAGAGGTAGGGCAAACCATCCATCCATGAATCCAATGTCTGTCTGCCTTGATCTGCGCCTCTTTACCTTAATGACACATCCTTGGTCAACCCTGGCTTGCACTTCTCTCACAGTGGTCTTCTTGCCACTGAAAAGGGTGCCCCCTCCCCCCAAAAAACAAGCTGTTTTACTGGGGGGCCTGATCTAGGTGGGTCATTCTGAAAGAAGTGGTTGCTTCAAGCCCAACCCTTTAGTTTGGAAATGATGGTGTTAGGTCACAGAGTAGATTGAAAAAATACTAATAAGTTGAGGTTAATAAAGATGCGATTTCTCTCATTCACCATTTGAGATGGTGGTGGTGAGGATGCTGGTGCTGGGAAGTATGCAAAATGTCAGCTGCTCCCAGACTGCTCTCCACCACCTTGCACACTCACTCATTCTTCTGACCAACATTAAATGACACCCTCCCAAGCATCAGCCACCATGCTAGGCACTTACCCAGAGAATGGGTAAGACATGGTTCTTGTCTTTGAGGAAAAACACTTGGAAAGACAGACACATAAATAAGTTATTAATATTATGATACACTGTAGTAATGTTCATTAGTAGTAGTAATGAAAATGCTTTAAAAGTGCCAGAAAGTACAGAGAAGGGTATGACCTATTAATGTGGTCTGGTGTGGAGTTGGAGGGAGGGCATTAAATCAGGATGGAGCAGGTGATTTTCACACTTGGTCCTGAAGAGTGACCAGAAGAAAAGAGGAGCATGGTGGAAGAAACACGAGTGTGAGAAAACAGTCTAGTTTGGGAACCAGAAATGACTTGGAGTGGCTGAAGTGCCACCTGGGGTTGTGGGGCTGAAACAGAACATGTCCAGATAGAAGACCTTTGAAGAGGCAATTTAGTGCAGGGTTAAGAGTACAGCCTCTGGGACCAGCCTGGCTGGGTTTGACTTCCAACCCCATGGGTATCCTTGGCAAGTTACTTGTGTTTTTGTGTTCAGTTTCCTTATGTGAAAATGGGAAGAGTTATAGCTTTTTTTCTTTTTCTTGAGGACACAATGAATGAATCCTTATATGATACCAGTGTTTGGCTCATAGTAAGTTCTACATAGGGTCAGCAACTAAAACAAATGACAACAGCAAAATAAAAGCAAAGACACCGCTACAAAAGCCACACAGAAACCAACACTTCCCAGATCTGATGCGGCAAGAAGGCAGGCAGTGGCCATCCAGGTGGAGCAAGAAGTCAAGCTGCAGGTAGGATTTGCTCTGTTTTCTGCTAAGCAATGGGAAAGCTCCAAGACCTACACTTGGGTTGGGAATCCCACTGAAACTGGAGCACTGTGGCAGAGATGCACACTTGCCCATGGGCACAGCGGAGTCAAAGCACACTGTGTTTCCTCCTTTCTCAGAAAGAGCAAAGTGGGGATAGACCATGCTGTAAGCATGCATGTGTGCTCAGTCGTGTCTGACTGACTGTGACTCCATGGACTATAGCCTGTGAGGCTCCTTTGTCCACGGAATTGTCCAGGCAAGAATACTGGAGTGGGTTGCCATTTCCTCCTCCAGGGGATCTTCCCAACCCAGGGATTGAACCTGTGTCTCCTGCATTGGCAGGTGGGTTCTTTACCCCCAAGTCACCTGGGAAGCCCCCACCACGCTGTATAGCAGCTTAGAATTAACACTGGAAATGGAGACCAGCAAGTTCACCACTCAAGTCATGAGTTTTCAGTGTTTCTCAAACATCGTAAATTCACGTGGAGAGCTCACTGAACAGGTAAGTGCCTGGTGACTGCCCCACATAGTGAAAATCTGTGGGTTGGCTTTCTGCCCAACACACACCCAGAGGCACACATTTGGAGGATAGTTGACTTCATGGGATCTTCCCAACCCAGGGATTGAACCTGTGTCTCCTGCATTGGCAGGTGGGTTCTTTACCCCTGAGTCACCCGGGAAGCCCCCACCACGCTGTATAGCAGCTTAGAATTAACACTGGAAATGGAGACCAGCAAGTTCACCACGCGAGTCATGAGTTTTCAGTGTTTCTCAAACATCGTAAATCCACGTGGAGAGCTCACTGAACAGGTAAGTGCCTGGTGACTGCCCCACACGTAGTGAAAATCTGTGGGTTGGCTTTCTGCCCAACACACACCCAGAGGCACACATTTGGAGGATAGTTGACTTCATGCATGTGTGAGTTCTGTGTGTGTGTGTCTATTGTATGTGTACAGAGGCATATGTATTAATTTACATCTTCCCATTTCATTTCAAGCACTGAGCTAAAATCAGCCTAAATATTTTTGTGAGAAACCTTTCCGTCTTCTGTAAAGAGAAACTCTGATTGCCATGGGGAGTCGGGGAGGCTGAAGGAGTGTCAGTAAGAATGAGATGTGAAATGGGAAGATACTCATGTTGCTATTCCAAATTCCAGGTCTGATCTTCAGGGCAGAGTTAGCCCTTAGGCACAATTGTTCCTAATTTCCGATGGGTTGTAGAGAGGAAAACCAAGGAGAGTGGGCTTTTCACGTTCGCCTGTGAGGAAGGTATTTTGTTTCTCCCCAGCCATCTGAACTGGCGCAGCCACCTTCCCTTCTCTTCAAGTCCTGGTGATGACTACTTCTTTGTCCACTGATGCTTTTTGTTGATCCTCCAGGAACATCAGCTATTGCATGTGAATAGCTCCCACAGGGGTGCCAAGTGTAAAGAACCCCTGCTCGTTCCCCGAGGGCAGCAGTGGCATGCCCATGCCCAGGCCCGACGCATCACGCATGAGGAAAGGGCGGCGGGCTGTGTGCTGGAGCAGGGCACTGACTGGGCGTCAGGTTTTCTACTGCTCTGTAGGCTGCTCATGCTGGAGTCCTGAGCTCCACCAGGAGTCCCGTTGGGCTGCCGAGCACGTGGATTTCCCAAGGGACCCGTCGCCCTGCTCTACGCAAGAGTTATGGGACCCGTAGAGCCCCAGCACGACAGTCAAGACCAGCATCGCCGCGGCCATCATCCAGATGACTTGCCAATGCTGACACAGTTTGGGATACATGACTTGTAAGAAATGAACCAATTCTTCAAGTTTGCTGTCAAATGAAAAAAACAGGTGGAGGGTTTAGTATATTGGACACATATAAGATGCCCTGACCCACACTTCCATCTGGAATACTTTCCATGTTGTCTTGAGCCGTGGTTCTCAAACTCAGCTGTGCAGAGTTGCTTAGCAGTAATTATTCAACATACCCCAGGACTACAGACTAAGAATCTTCAAAGGTATGGTCTAAGAGTCTACAGTTTAAAACATTTACCCAGGTGATTCTGATGCTAACAGTTCATAACCTTTATATTAGGAGTGACTGGGCTAGACCACTCTGTGTGTGTGATCATTCAGCCTTTCACACATGCCCTCATCTATTCATGAGATGGTCATTGACATCTGAACTCCCCCAAGGCGCTGACCCAGACTCCCATGCATCCATGCAGGCCCAGCATCTTTTCTGTACTTAGTGTCACTAACATAGTGATCAGCTCCAAGTTATAACCTGTTCCCTGCCTCCATGTTCAGATGCATAATTTGTTGTGCTCAGTTCCACATATGACCATGTCCAGAGTGGAAGGACTGTGATAAACTCCTAGAAGACTCTTGATGTTGAATAATAAATGACATGGAACCAGAAACCTCAAGAGCTCACTTCAAACCATCCCAGGGGCTTCCAGAGAACGCCTAGCCTCCCGCAACCTCAGGGTGACTTATTCAAGTATTTCCTCAGTCCTAGTAATCTTCCTTCCCAGTAAAATAGACATCCAACAGGAATTTGCTGTATGGTTCAGGAAACTCAAATGGGGGCTCTGTATCAACCTAGAGGGCTCGGATGGGGAGGGAGATGGTAGGGAGGTTCAAAAGGGAGGGGAATATACGTATACCTATGGCTGATTCATGCTGAGGTTTGACAGAAAACAACAAAATTCTGTAAAGCAATTATCCTTCAATTAAAAAAAAATATATATATAAATTTAAAATAAATCTTCCTTTCCAAATATCTCTTCCTCCACTTTCTCTGGTCGCTCCACACCTTTCTCTCCCTTCTCAGCTTTCTCTCTCTTCTCTTTGCCATTCATCCCCTCACCTCTGCTCTTTGCCTGTGTCCCCCCCGCACCCTTGGCTTCCCAGGTGGCTCAGATGGTAAAGTGTCTGCCTGCAATGAAGGAGACCCAGGTTTGATCCCTGGGTTGGGAAGATCCCCTGGAGAAGGAAATGGCAGCCCACTCCAGTACTCTTGCCTGGAAAATTCCATGGACAGAGGAGCCTAGTAGGCTACAGTCCATTGGTTTGGAAAGAGTTGGACACAACTGAGCGATTTCACTTTCACTTTCTTTCCCCCCTCCTTTCCTTCTTCTCTTCCTGACTACCTTTCAACTTTTCCACTCTTTTTTCGTGGTCTAGTGAAAAGATGGTTGGATGGCATCACTGACTCAATGGACCTGAGTTTGAACAAGCTCTGGGAGTTGGTGATGGACAGGGAAACCTGGTGTGCTGCAGTCTATGGGGTCGCAAAGAGTTGGACACGACTGAGCAACTGAAGTGAAAAGACATTTGGTCAGATGGCCCACTTGTAAGAGTCCATTCTTAAAGCTTTCATTACACACATTCATTACACTGGAATTTCTTCCTGTTTCTAATTCCAGATCGATCGATCTATCTATCTAAAACTGAGAATACTGAGCATCACTAAATGGAGAAGGTGAGAAGTGACAGGAGGGCCTTCTCCAGATCTTGAGGTTCACATAGACCCTGAAATATGCAGGCCACTTGCTGAGAAGTAGACAGCTCTAGATGCCTTACGATGGGTAGAAAGATTAAACAAATACCATCTGTACAAAGGGATCAGATGCTCAGAGTATCTGTCTTGGATGCTAAAGCATTGATTGATTTCTTTTCCCCATGGGAAACCACTGATAATTGTTTCAGAAGCAGTTAAGCAAAGCAAAACAGTGAGCACACGAGCCAAGGTGAAAATTATTGGCTATTTTCATAACTGTAGGGGAGAGAGAATTTGGAAATGGAAGCTTATTTTCTTTTGGCACCATTTTGATTCCTTAATATCTATTAAGATACAGTTGGATGCTATGGCACAGTCTTTCTTTTGGACTATATTTCTCTAGGCCCCAAAACAAGCTGCTGGAGCTGGAAGAATCCCACTCTCACCCCATCCTTTAGAGGGATTGGGAAGGAAGAGGGCAAGATAGGCTTTGTGACCCTCAGCTGGTTACCCATTTAAAGTCTATAAAAATGGTTAGAAATAGAATTATTGATTAGAAATAGAATTCCTTTGGAAATAAATTTTTGATTGTTCTGAGGTCTACCTACTCCTCCCTCACCTGGGCTAGGAGATGCTGCGTGGGGAGCTCAATACACTGCAGTTTGGGCACATGGTGAGTGGACTGCTGTGTGACTCCCACCCGAGGAATCTGAAGAATGAGAATCTTGCTGAACTATTTGATGCTGTCTGAACAGGGGGCATGAGAGCAAGAACCATCCTCTCACCCCTAGGGGGCCAGAGATGCATATTTCACTTCAACTGGGTATAGACAGGAGAAGGAAAGGTGGCACAGGATGTCATAGACCTGGAAACACTACCCATAAGCTGAGCACAGAAGGTACACTTCCAGCTGCCCAAGGATTGAGAGAGATTATAAGTAACCAGCCAGAAGAGCCGCATTTGACCTCACAAAGGGAATTGCAGTTGAGAGATCCTCAGTAATGGTGTGTTTGTGGGGTTCTCTGAAGTTTCCATAAGACACCACACTGAACAAAATCAGAACATCAGGGGACTTCCCTCGTCCAGTGGCTAAGACCCCGAGCTCCCAATGCAGGGGGCCCGGGTTCAATTGCTGGTCGGGGAAATAGATCCCACAAAGCCACAACTAAGACCTGTCATACCAAATAAATTAGTAAAAATAAATATTTTTTAAAAAATCAGCTTTAAATCTCTGCTAAGGCCTGGAGCCCCCTCACAATAAGAGCAGTGAAGTAATACCTTTCCTACCCTTAATCTCTGTCCCCTTTCCCAGCCCCGGAGAGGTCAGGTGCTGCATTAGCTAAGCTTGGTTGAGGGCAAGAGTGAGAGAGAGCAAGAAGTCAACTCTGTCCCCACTATATGCTTCCTTCCTGAAGCAGAGCCAAGTTGACTGGAGGCAGGAAGGGATGGGTAGAAGGTTGAACTTTTTAAGTTCAGGATTTTGACTATTTCAGGGATCTAGCCATTTAAATGACTGAAATGAGGTTATTCTTGGGATTTAAAGTTGACCAGAGGACTTCTATTTTCTGAGAGTTATTGGAAAAGTAAAAGAGTCTGCCTAATATCATCTTAACCCCATGGAGCAGTTTTGAAGAGACACTGGGAGCCAAGACAACAGTTTTCTGTTGCATCTGAAGAGTCTCATTCATCCAGTGTATTACACAAATGTTAGAAGACCTGTGCTCTCCGTTTTAATATAGTTAAGATACTGGGTTGATTCACCCAAAGTTCACTGAAGCTGATCCTCCAGAAAGTAATATTGAGAACAGATTATATTATTATAATGGAGGAGAGATTCAGACAAAGACTCTGGTGTTTGAGGTTGAATGTCTTAAATAAAGGGTTGGCTGCTGGGGTGATCCCAGTGTTTTTAAAATGCACTAAATAGGACATAGAACTTTTCACAACTTCAGACCCTGCTTGTTAGTGAGATGCCAAAATTTCGTAGTGGGAATTATGCTTAAGTAGAGGTGCCTGCAGGCAACTGTGTGTGTTAGGGACTTGAGGATGAATGGATTGTCTGGCATTCAAGACAATGGCTCTCAGTATTGGTCTGGATTGGGTGATGGGTGAGGAAGGGATCCTGTGACTGTGAGTGAGCAGTTTCTATGATAGCAGTGTCAGTCGTTATGGAGAAGATGATGCCACACTGCTGAGCCTGAACAGGTGAAGCTGCACCATGTGCTAAGGACCCTTCTGAGGGTGTGCTGATGCCTGGTATCCATTTCCTGAGGTCCAGGCATGTTCTTAAGATCAGAAAATGAATCTGAGAGGGAGCAGGGGTTGGGAGCGAGAACAAGGCCTTTCAGGATCAGCAGGACCAAGAGAACCCTCTTGGATGATGGATGTGAAGGGCAGCTGTTACCATGCACTGCTGACCAAGAGCTAGACAGGAGGAGAGCTGGGCACAGCCTCTCTTCTGCTGGGATTTCACGAATTAGGAGGGAGCCGCCAATGACCCAAGATCAAACCAGCTAGATAAGGTTTCCAGCCAATTTGTTTATATTCCATGTACTCTCTGTGTTCTGTTCCTTTTGTTTTTTTCTTGGTGTTTGGAAGGGTTAGAAGTCCCAGCCTGTCTTTTGTTTTGAAGGGAGCCAAAGAAAGGGCTGTTGTCAGGCCTGGGCTTGACTGAATTAAAGGAGAGGAGACAGTGTGGTGGCTCACAAAACGAGAGCAGAGGACCCCCAGGAGGGAGAGAAGACCGAGACAGACAGGACCCAGTCACTCAGAGCAGGGACTGTGCTTTGACTGTGAACACTGGGCTTCTCTCCCTAGAAGAGGTAGTGCATCCTAGCACAGGTTTGTTTCCAACTGTGAAACACTTTCTCTTCCCATGAACACTGGAGTTGACTCATGCAGGCTAATGCCTCTTACTCTGGTTGAATCTTCCAACTGGGCTCTTCTGCTTGTTCTTATATGCTTTGAAGCATATCCATCTCACTTCAAATCTGCATTTTATTACATGATATGGCATGCATATGATTTCCAGAGTCTTTTAGCAATGAGACACAGACAGCATACCCATCCTAAATGAAGCAGTTGATTAGATTAATTGATCATTTTTGACTAAAATCATCCTGGACTGAAGGTAACCTGGGAGTCTAAAAGCAGTAATTTTGGTGAAGTGTTCTAAGTTAGCCGTAACTACATTTTAAAAATCCAAGACTCAAGACTTCTAGATTAAATGTGCTAATAGAGATAATGCTGCTGCTGTTGCTAAGTCACTTCAGTCGTGTCCGACTCTGTGAGACCCTATAGACGGCAGCCCACCAGGCTCCCCCGTCCCTGGGATTCTCCAGGCAAGAACACTGGAGTGGGTTGCCATTTCCTTCTCCAATAGAGATAACAGGGCCAGATATACAAAATTGGGGTCATTAAAATCCAGGACGTCAATTTGTCACTAGATCCATAGGGCACAGGTCGGGGAAGATGCTGGATCTACATTACCTTTATCTACATGTTACATAGACTTTTTCATAATTTTGCAGAAAATGCACTTAAAATATAAAGTATATTAAAAAAGAAAAATCTGAGTTTTTCCAATCCAAAGTAAAAACACTGTCCAGATGACCAAATTTGTTTGGTCACCATGGAAGGAACCTTTTGGAGACTCATGGTGGCCACATATCATATCTCCATGTGTTCTCTCCACCCCATCCTCCTCTAGGGCTTCAGGCCAACTCCCTTGACCTTGGATCTCTCATGGGGATGGCTGGGCAGTAAGTTAACTGTGGTCCCTTGCATTTTCTCAGCTCTTAGGAACTCCTGACCCCACCCTTGGCCACCACTGACCCCTAAACCCTTGCCAACACCCCCTTGTTAACTACTTGGATTCTTTGGGATTCCCTCTGCCTCCTCCTCCAACATGAGTTCCCTCTCGGTTTCTGTTGGCTGCTCACTTAGGCCCTAGACTGCCTTGGACTGGCCCCTCTAGGGACATTGTGCAGTGAGGGGAACTGAGACCCATTTTAGCAACTGTGAGGGCTCCAACCTGCTTCTCTGCTCCTTTTCCTCTTCCTCAGTTTCTTCTGCCTCTTCCGGCTCCTCAGGGATCTCACTCTTCTGTTCTTCCTCCTCCTCCTTCAGGTCTTGAAGCTCCTTGGTTTTCTTTAGACCTTCCTGGTATCTGGAAGGCCACAATGAACAACTGAGTCTGGAAAGGCCAGCAGATGCAGAGCATCCTTTCCCGAGTTGCCAGAGGAGGGGCACTGAGCACTTGCAGTGATTCTGCACTCACTTCCTGTGGCTCCACACAATAGGGAAAAGCCACCACATCCCACGGTGGCTCACATCAGGACGATTTCCCTTCACCCCCAGTCCTCCTTCCTGTTTATGCGAAAGTGTGACAAAACAGATAGGGAAAAAATGTGGGTGCAGTCTCCTGGCTAGATTCATCTCCAACAAACCACCTGAGAGGACTGAGGACTGCATCTGCTCTCTGTGTGGCCTTGGAGCAGTAGCTACGCCCCTGTGAAGAGGAGGGGCTGGCACCCATTGCTCGGTGGCGGAGCGTTTTGAGAAAGTGACAAGAGTATAGCTTGGCCTAGGGAAGGTGCTCATACACAGGCCTGTTGGGAAGCTTTGCAGAAGTGAAATGCACACAAGTTCTCAGTAAATGGTCACAAAGCCAATGGAAGCATTCACTCCCCTCCATTCTAAGTACAGAGGACAGGTATGGGTGAAAAGACAGGCTTTTCGAGAGAAGTCTTCTGACTTCCTTCTCCCAGGATTAATATCACCCTGAACATACTTTTCGCTCGTCTAACAACCGAGTGTTTAAGGCCAGCAAAGTTGGGCTGGGGCAAACCCCACTGTGGTGCAGGTGCCACCACACCAAAGCCCACAGGTTCCCTGTCAGAGAGAGGCCGCATCTCCCTCAGGGGCTCCGGGGCAAGAAGCTCAGGGTGCAGTGCCTGGTCAGAGGTAATTCTTTACCTGGCTGGGCTGGGGCCCTGCTCAGTATTCTGTCCCACCAGTGACTGACAACAGGCCAAAGATGCTATTGAAGCTCAACTGGAGAAGGGAGTGGCTAGAAGTTGAGGAGACTCCTGTGACAAGAAGAAGGGATGACTGGGGCAGTTCTAGGAAGTGGGGCTGCAGCTGCTCCAGGACACTGCTGGCAGCGGAGTGACTGCTCTGGGCATGTGTCAGGAAGCCTCAGGCACCACCAAGAGGAACCCACCCAGAGCCTTTGACTTCCGGATCATTCTGGTGGCTTTATGCCTAAAAAGAGGGCAGTCTGGTTATTATCTAACCACACCCTCTTGCCCCATTTCCTCCTGTCTTTCCTGTGGAACAGTACTGCTCTTTCCTATATAACTCCTTACTCAGGCAAGGAGGTCCTGGGGCCATGAGTTGCTTCCCTAAATCCTTTAAGAAGCAGGAAAGGTTGGTGGGAAGGTATCCAGGTGACCTCAGGGCGGCTGACAGCTGACTCACCCCTTGTTGTAGGCTTCTTCCTCCATCCTGGCCTTAGCCTCCTGGCTGATCCCCTCCAGGCAGCTTGGAGTCGGCATAGAAGCAGAGGATTCACAATCTGGGTCCCCATTCGTCTTTCCACTAGTGAGAAGGCAAGTACAGGACATCCTTTCAGGGACAGATAGGGCATCTGAAAACCAAACCGTGTCTTTGGCCTGTTCCTGGCCAGAAGTGAGGAAGCTCATTTGGGTTGAATCTATTTCGATCTTTCTATCTTGAGATAAGATTTTTTTTTAAAGGCCCTGGTCCATGAATCCTTCCTAGACCCCCAAACATCAGTACTGTACCAGCACCCCTTTTCCCTCCTGCTCTCAAACCTACTTTCATTCTTATTCCAGGAGATGCTGTGAGTAGACAGACAGCTATTGGGAGCTCCAGGGCACTAAGAGGAAGAAGATGGGGGTGGACCAGATGTTCAGACTCATCCCATCCCTGCAGTCCATTTTCTGTTTCATTCATTGAAATATCTACCCAGGATTAAGTCACAGGCACCTTGTAATGTGCAGGGGAGACATTAGAAAACAAAAGAAAAAGTCTTAGCCAACATGGAGCACAGCAGGAGAAAATGCCCAAACAAGTCACACACACACAAAAATAAATAAAATTAATTACAAATTGTGATGACTTTTAGGAGAGAAACAAACTCTGGGCAATGACGGAAAATAACAAGGGAAGAATCTGCTTAGATTGAGTGGCTAGAAAAGGCCTCTCGGAGATGGAATAACAGACCTGAAAGATGAGAAGCCATCCATGTCTATGGCAGAGGGAAGATCATCCCAGGTAGAGGATGCAGATGTGTGAAGACCTTGAGATATAAAAGATGTGAAGTTTGAGGGACTGAAGAGAGGCAATGAAGTAAGAGTTAACTTCTGGACAAGACATATTTCTGAGGCCTGTGAGGTATCTAGGTGGAGATGTCAAGTTGGTAGTTGTATGTACCATAGTGTGTAAGAGGAGAGCTCTGGACTGTCTTGGAGATACTCAGAAGATAGCTGGTACTTAATGCCAGAGGAATGGAAAAGAATGTCTAGGGACAAGTATGAGGAAAGATGAGATGACCCAGGACCAAGCCACATGCATGTCCACGCTTAGCTCAGGTAGAGAAGGAGGACCCTGCGAAGGAGCTGAGAAGTAGGAGCCAGAGAGGTAAGAGGAGAACCCAGAGAGTGTGGAGTCCTGGGAGCTGAGAGAGTGTAAGCGGCTCTTTGTGGGAAACCGCCTTCAGCAGGAAGCCCCTTTTCTTGTCGCTTTAGCAAAGCTATGTTGTGACTAACCATTCATTCATTTATTCATGTCACACAGCATGTGGGATCTTAGTTCCTCGCCCAGGAATCAACCTACCCCACCCCACCCCACCCCACCCCACCCCACCCTGTGTTGGAAGCTCAGAGTCTGAGCTACTGGTCTGCCAAGAAAGTCCCTGTAACTAATTTTTAAACCAGGCGCCACCATGCTCTACTTATCTCTGGCTCAAGCACAACTTGCCTAACTTTTTGGTTCCTCCTATAGATCAAAGAGGTAGAAATGAAGAATAAGTAACAGATGACCAGATCTCTTCCCTAGCTCCCCCTTCGGTCATCTCCCAAACAAACCTTGTGACCAAACTGCGTGAACAATATAACATCTAGAGTCAATGAGACTACATGCAGTGGGGGGATAGTGACCACTCCGACCCCCATCCCAATGATTAACTGAGATGACTTCCCTCCGTCCCTTTAAAGGTTTCCTGGCCATGCAGGATCTTCGGAGGTGGTTTTGGGGGGCAGTGAGTCCACCATCTTCACAGACTACCAGCATTCTGATGAAAGGCATTTTCCTTTCTACCACTTTATTGATTTTTTAAGTGGCGAGCAACGGGACCCTCTTCCCCCGCCCGCCCCGAACATGGAAAGCATGTCAAGGAGAGAGCATTGTCTCACACACACACTTCTGAGAATCTGACTCAGATGTGTATAGGAAAAGTGACTCTTGGAATGGATACCATGGAGGTCAAGAAGAGCTCTGGTGACACAGTAGGAGCCAAAGACAGATTGGAAAGGGCTGAGTGAAGACTGGGAGGTGAGGAAGGTGAAGACATAGACACAGGAAACTGACAAGGACCGGAAGTAGGGGGACGGTGTAGCTGAAGAAGTGGGTCAAAGGACAAAAGCACATTTGAATGTGGATAGAAATGGTTCAGTAGAGGGGATGAGAGAAAATGGAGAACCAAAGAAATAAATCTGTTGAAAAGGAAAGTAGGGACAGACCTTAGAAAGGTAGAGAAACTTCTTAGTCATAACAAAGGCAGGAAGGTGATGGAGATGGTGGGCTGGGAATCTGGAAAAGGAAGATAAGAGGAATCTTCTCATCCAAGAGCTCAAATTTTCTCTATAAAGTGGAAAAATAAGGTCATCTACTAAAAGTGAGAAGTAGGGAGGCTAGGCAATCTTGAGGAGGGAAGAGAAGGTGTAAGCATCATGAGGTGGAGGTAAGGGGGACAAATGTGTTCGATTAAAGTAGGATAGCTGATGGTGCCAGGAGTCCATTTGAGGTATGAAATCATGAGTTGAAAGGAAATATCCTGATGGCCGTGCCTTCTCTATGGGTCCTGCAGCTCACCTAGGGGCCTGGAATTCCAATGGGAGTCTTTTCATGGCAGAGACCACAAACGAGGCAGAACAGTGACTAGGGCTTTGCAGCCAGGACTCTGAAGCTCACAGCTGCTACCCTCCCCGACCTTTCAGCCAGGCTTCATAAGTGAGTCTCCTCATTCTCGGCATCAGTTTCCTCGTCTTAGTTTCCTTCAGGCCTTGTAAAATTTACATTTGATCAGGTTGGAAACCAAAACCCATTGTGAACAAGAAAGAACACTCTAAAAATAGCTATTCATAACATTTCTCCTTTTAAAAATCACATTATCCACTCCCTTCTACGTGACCTCTGCCTAATGTACAATTTCTTATTTTTTCCAAACGATTGGAAAAAGAGCAGAGAAACAGAGCTACAGCCAAGGGCAGGGAAAGCCATTTTTTTACAAAATGTGGTGGTGGTGGTTTAGTCAGTTAAGTCGGTCGNGGACTGTAGCCGGCCAGGGTCCTCTGTCCATGGGATTCTCCAGGCAAGAATACTGGAGTGGGTTGCCATTTCCTTCTCCAGGGGATCTTCCTGACCCAGGAATCGAACCCGGGTCTCTGCATTGCAGGCAGATTCTTTACTGACTGAGCTATGAGGGAAGCCCTTACAAAATATGGTAGGGGGTAAAATGTTTGCAGTTATTTCCTGACCCCTAGACTGAGCCTGTGTGTGTGTTAGTTGCTCATTTATGTCTGACTCTTTGCAACCCCATGGACTGTAGCCCACCAGGCTCCTCTGTCTGTAGAATTCTCCATGCAAGAATATTGGAATGGGTAGCCATTCGTTTCTCCAGGGTTTCTTCTTGACTCAGGGATCGAACCCAGGTTTCTTTTACTGCAGATTTTTTTTTTTACCATCTGAGCTATCAGGGAAGCCCCTGGACTGAGCTTATAGTTCCTTAAATATCTTCTCCAACTATGTGGAATCTTCTCCCCGTGCACTTCAAAGGCTTTGTTCAAATATATTTACCTTTGCGGAACTCTTGCTAATGTTTTCCTCTCTCTCATACCCTCTGGTTAAATTTGATCTCTCTCCCCCTTTATACCCTCAGGAAACCTCTTTTACAGCATAACTCAGAGCTATGGCACTTTTATACACATGCTCTTCCTTCTGTAAGACTGTGATTGCAGAGAAAGACTGTGTTTCCGTTTGAATGATGCTTAGCACATGGGAAATGCCTTTAAGTGTTTGCTGAGCTGTATTGCCTTCACTGTGGCTCATCCCCTGCCAGTTAATCTTACCAAATGGGCAGGTCTTCTATGTAAATGACTCTTTCCTGAGAACTCAGTGTTTGGACTGAGCTGAAGGAATCCCTACGCATGGTTGTAAACTTGGAGCTGAGCACAGCCTGTGCCCACCTAGAGATTTCTGGGCCAGACACTCATGGATCTTGGCATCTGTTCCCAGTTCATAATCTTGTGTGCTTTCTTCCTGAGATGACTGATTAGAATGAGGCTCATTGTTCTCTCTTGTCCACTGGGTCAAAAATGTTTGCCATTGTGCTTAGCTCTCAGTAATGTGAAGAGATATTTAGTCAAAATGTGTTGTTTGACCTGTAGATATATTAGATTCTATTTTTCCCACGTGGTCAACAGTATTTGAAAGCGACTCCAGTCCTTTCCCATGGTCAGATCTTACCTTCTCGGACTCAGCTATGTCTGTAAGCCACCCCCATTACCAAGGTTCCCTCAGACAAGTCCAGCCTGGGGGACCTTGGCTACAAGAACTTCCTTATTCTCGGTTACTCAGCCCCAGGTTCCTGGAGTTCACTAATAGGTTGATTGAGGGCTAATCCATTCCAGAATACTATCAGCAAAGGGGAACTGCTTAACTGTATATATTTAATGTCATATAAAATCTTTAAGCAATTATCTCGACTGCTTCAAAAATGTAGAAAATGGTTATTTTACAGAATAAAGAGAGAATTGCTCTGTGCTATCGCAATATAATGGCCCCTTTTATGAAGCCAGCCCTGTGCACCATCCGCATTTATGATGGTACTGATCCTTCAGTGAATGGCTCTGTGAGAACTTTGCACTCCCACCCACTCCACCCTCCACTCCACGCCCAGTCACAAAGTTCTTTCACAATAGCTCACAGGAACTTTTTCAAAAATAGCCCTTAAATCCACTCCCTTCTTGCATGTCACACCGAATTTCTTCCCATTTTTCCAGTTGGAGTGTCTATTAAGAGGTTAAGCACATGAGATCTATTATCTACTAGCTGTGTATCCTCAGGTATGTGATGGTTTCCTCTGAGTTTCAGTTTCCTCATCTATAAGACAAAGATATTAATAGTATACCTTCCTCATGGTATTACAAGGATTAAAGGAGATCATTAATGTAAAGCAATTAGAGCAGAACTTGGCATAAAGTAAGCATGCAGTAAATAATAAGAGTAATTCTCATTATCTTCAATATTATTCCTTGATTACTCCATACTTTATTGCCTTAGTGCCTGGAATGTTATTAACCTCCTAGTTACCTGGTTAACTATTATAACCTTCAGGTTTCACTTTTAACATAAATTCCTAGAGGAAATGTTTTCTAAGCAATCCCCATTACCAAAACTGGGTGATGTGCTCATTTTCTTGTGTGTTGTTTCCTTATAACCTGTTCTTCCTTCTGATATCATTCATTACACTATATTGCAATAGGTTGTTTTCTATCTGTCTTTCCCATTATCCTGTGAGCTCCTTGAGTGCATTCCAGGTGCCTGGGTTTTGGTCATTAATTGGTGAAGAAACGAAAGAATATGAATAAATAGCTTTTTCAAGTTATGAAACTGTTCTTGGGCCTTATTCTATTTTAATCTTTAATACTAATTTAAAATATCACTCTCTCTATTTTCCTCTAAGTCTACAGGTTCCTAGACCTCTGTTGAGTGAAGAACAGGTTTCTGTGAAGTCATCTGGAAGAACAAGGCTCGGAATTCTTTCAAGTTATTATTGGGAGTGCAGTCTGTGATCAGGTATTTACTTGTGAACTATCCACAGGAAATATGATCTTCTCATCATCTTTCTTGTGCCTAGCCAATTCCCTACCTGTCAATCATTGTATGCTTAGGGAAATGTGAGATCATTTAAATATAATAATCTAGATAGCAATACATATTAACTGATAATGCATTGTTTCTCTTTAACAGTCTGGAAAAGGCAGTTATAAACAACTGTATTTCTGTTAGAATGGAAATTATGAATTCATTTTCCCTCACAGATTGTCTCATTGCTGATCTCTTGGCAATCTATTAGATATTTCCAGTTCCATAAATTTAGATCAAAATTACTTAGCATCTTTTAGAAATTCAGAGTGGGAAAGAAAAGAGAAAAAAAAGAAAGAAAGAAATCCAGAGCGGAGAGTTGCTGCTAATCTGAATCCCTCATCTTTTGAATAGCCCCTCCCCTTTTAGCAGTCATCTTTATAGACTGGACGTATTCCCAACAGGCAAGTCAACCATAGCATGGGTAATGTATCACAGTGGTCTTTTTGAATAGCCCATAAGAATGAGCAGCACACAGTTGCTTCTTCAGGGCTTCTTGCTCGACTAGGTTCAGTCCTCACTCTGTCCCTGTCTCTCCTGGTTCTATACCCTTGGAATGGTGCTGCCGCCACTGATCCTCATTCATTGCCACCCCTGATTCAGGGCTGCTGCCTACTGTCCCCAGTTTTGTACCTCATTTTCTCCTATTTAAGAACAGTTCAGATCGTTGATGATCTCTGCTGCCTCAGATGGAAGCTCTCAGCTGGCCAGAGCATTCGTTCTACAGAGTACAGGCCCTGCCCCATCCTAAAAGTCTGCTGGGGAGAAAGGGGATATAGATCTTCTGCCTTGACTGGCTCTACAGGTTGAGGGTTGAGAATGGAGCCTTGTTAGGGCCTTCTTGGAAAAGGGGTTGGTGTGTCCTAAGGTGGGACTTCAAGGGAGAATTTTAGTGTGCTTCTCACTCAGGGCATCAGATGACCATTCCTGGAGAGATTCAGAGACCATGGACTGGACACTGTGGCTCTAGGGACTTGGCAAGATTCTGTAGGCTCCATTACCTCCACACGGTTGTGAGTCTGTCAGCCCTTTACACTGTCCCTGTAGTGACCAAAAAAACAAAGAAACAAGCAAAACACCCTACTCAACATGAAGGATCTGTAAGCTTTCTCGGGGTAAGGTGGCAAGGTGAAAAACTGCCCAGCCAATGTCAAGATTAATGGGTAGAGAATGAACCACTGAGTGATAGGTTGGTGGTTGCATATACTGAGAAGTGAGGAAAACAGGCTGAGTCTGGGGTGGGGAGCTGGGAGCTTGCCTGTACTAAAAAAAGGCACACGACACAGACCTTCCTTGCCAGGTCAAGCAAAACTATTCTAACAGCAATGAAAAATGAAGTACTAAAGCTGTCTCAAGGCAAGGAAGAAGGAAGAATAGAGGTGTATGTTCTACCAAATGAAGAAAGACACAAGGGGAAAGTTCTGAGAGGTGGCAGCTGTGATCCAGATGTTTCCAGCAAGCAAATGAAAGAATTAGAAAAGCAAGTTATAAACTTCTCTGAGTATGTAGAAATAGCCTGCCTTGCTTCAGCTAAGAATGAAAAGAACTGCAAATAGCATAGATGCCTAGAAAAGTTACATATAGCAGAAACTGTCTGTTGCCAACCCATTATTCACTCTTCCTCCTGTTTCCTAACAGCAACATGATTTTGCCTGGAAATTTGCTCTTCTTCATAGAGCCATTTGCTCCATGGGAAGCTGATCTTCTCTTCCCATCTCCAGGGTATAGTTTAAAACTATGACGACAATCTCATTGCCTGTGATTGGTTTAGAAAGGGACCATGTTCCAAATCTGCTAACAAGACAAAAAGGAAGACTGAAAGACTGGTTCCTAAGAAACAAACATGGGACAAGATGGCCCCTTCTTCCTCAAGATGTTGTCATATCTGGATGAAACACCTGGCATTAGCCATTTGCCACAAATCTGCTGATGAAGTCAACATGCAAACTGGGCAGAGAAAAGGAAACTATAGAGGCTGAGCTGGGGCCCTGCCATACCAGGAAAAGCCTCACCTACTATTTAAACACCTTTGATTTGGGGCTTTCTTGTATCTTGTAACTCAAAGGATCCTAATGAATAAAGAAGGCTTCTGTCTCCTCTGGGCTCTCCTAGGATTGAGGCACACTTAGACTCATCTCCAGCATCTTCCTTGTCCAGGAATTTTGCAAACTGGGTCTGAAATCTTTGTGGGTCTCAGAGTACCATTCATTTCCCCCTAGTACTTCATTTGCCTCCCACTGCATTTTGCGAGTGAGGATGGGAGGAAGGTGAGTTGGAGAACTTTTCCTCCGAGATCCCCAAAGTTAAGAAGGAAATGGACATACTTACTTTTCCAAAAGTGCAGGCAGTGCTGAGGTGACAGGTGGGTTGCCTTTCCCATTGGATGATTCTGACTAAATAGAAAACAGGAGATATTGAACTGGGATGAGCTAGGAAAGAAGAAGCCAGGGCTGACTGGTCTCTGAATCCTGGGGTAGGGCCTAGGCATTGAATGTTCTAGAAGTATCCTGTGTGATTTTAATGGACAGCCCTGATTGCCAATCCCTAGTCTAAAGGAATGTATATTTGGAAACCACATTGTATATTTAGTATAGTTTGGGAAATAGTCTCCATTAAAATATACTAACTAGTACTCTTGAAGCTCCTTTTCAAAATTTTTTTTTCAAATTGCTTTATTTTAGTGAGTGATTTGGGAGTTTGTATTGATTTCATGGATGATTGAAATGCTCAAGGTCAGAAGAAGTGAAGGAAGTTTTAGAGTTATTGCCACCTATTACTAGTACAGTAAAGCTTTTCCTTGCTTATACAGTCAGATTAGATCTTTGTAGAACAGTGCTGATCATGAACAGGGCATACAGAAACAACTAGAGAAATAATTTAAAGAGTTTTAAATAGGATTAACCAGATTCACAAAGTTCTGAAACAGTTTACAGGAACAGTCTTTGTTTAAAAAAAAATTGAAATGCATTTTTTTCTAATTATAAGTAATACAGTTTTACTATAGAAATATAAAAAGGGATCAAAAAATTAAAATTGCCTGAGTTTTTACCACTGCCCGGAAATAGCTATTATTTGTAGTTCCATATATATTCTTTCAGAATATTCTATGTCTACACATAGAAAAACACTTTTTCAAAGCTACAAAACAGAGTTACACTGTAAATACTGGGGTTTTGCTTTTTGTTTATAATAAATTATGGACTTTCTTCATGCCAATAAATAAAAATTTACATTTTAATCATTATATTTAGCAACCACATAGAAACTCCTTATTGGGCTATTCATAATTTACTTACATAGATCTCTTATTAATGGAAATTCTGGTTATGTCTAATCTTTCAATGTTGTAAACAGTGCAGTAATGAATCAAGGCAGGGTAACACTGGGTTGAAGAACTCAGGCTCTGGAATCAGAGCACCTAGGGTTCAAAGCTCAGCACCACTTACTCCACAATGCAACTTTCAGCTGTTTAAACCCACTGCGGAATGGAGGGTTCTGGTTTAAGCATGAAGAGAGATATACTTTGCAAGGAACACTCTCTGAGTGGCCAGCACCTTGCTCAAGGATACTATGTCTTCTTCTCTGGGCAGTGCAAGACATGGGGCCTGGTCTATGCTGAGGTTTCTCAGCCTATAGCCTATAGCACAGAATCTGTGCTGTGAATTTCCCCACTTCTTTGATGCTGCCCCATCCAGGTCACCTCCACAGTTGTGAGCCTGAGAGGCAAGCATCATGATACTCACCAGGGCTGGTAAGGAGGGGATGGGGGATGAGCTGGGTGACTGGCCCGGCAGGTTCAGGATATTAAACTTGGGCACCACGGCAACGCTGACCCTCCGGCGGGGCATATTCTGTGGGAAGAGAATGGATCCACTGTCACAGGGGAAGCACCCAAAGTTCAGAAAGGCCTGGGAATGCCTACTAATTCCTAATGCTGTATTCATTGGATATTCTGGCTTTAGGGTAATGATGGTGGTGGAGGTTGGGGTGGAGAGAGTGGCCAAAATTAACAAATTTTTTTATTACTGAGGAGTGAGTTCTCAACATCTTCTGATTTTTTAAAGATTTTTAAAATGTGTATCATTTCTAAAGTCTTCATTGAATTTGTTACAATATTGATTCAGTTTCATGATTTGGTTTTTTGGCCGTGAGGCATGCGGGTTCTTGGCTCCCTGAGAAGTGAAAGGGAAAGTGGCTCAGTCGTGTCCGACTCTTTGTGACCCCATGGACTATACAGTCCATGGAATTCTCCAGGCCAGAATACTGGAATGAGTAGCCTTTCCCTTCTCCAGGGGATCTTCCCAACCCAGGGATCGAACTCAGGTCTCCTGCATTGCAGGTGGATTCTTTACCAACTGAGCTGTGAGGAAACCAGGGATCAAACCCACACCTTCTGCATTGGAAGGTGAAGTTTCCCAACCACTGGACTGCCAGGGAAGTCCCAATTCTGATTTTAATTAATCAGATCCTAAAGAAATGGAACAAAAATGACCCCTAGTCATTTGACAGTGTATGAAATCCTGACTAGCATAGGAAAACTATCTATGACAATACTAAAGTGTGTGCATCATTTCATGTTCATTAAAGAAATGGTACAGCCTGGGAAGTCAAGAGCAAGGGAAGGTTGGAGGATGAGCTAGCAAGTGTGGGAAGCTGAATGAGAAACTCTGTCCAGAGGTTCTCTGGCACTTGTATATCCAAGAATGAATGATTTCCTGGTTGACTGTAGAAATTTCTTTCTCTCCCCAGTTTTCCTTGAATATGCATACCTTTCCCAGGGAGAGGGACATGGACCGCGCTGTGCGAGGGACTCCGTCTTCTGCAGGAGGAGGAAACAGAGAAGAGAAGCCAGGTAAGTTTTCAGAGTAGGCTCCAGCAGGAAGCTGATCACAGAAACTGACCCTCAAGGGATGCCCCAAGGGCCTAGGTGCCGAGGTCAATGACTTTGACACTTGACCCTTTGAGACAGTCACCTGCAGAATGGGGTTTCTAGGGGACAGGACCTTCAACCTAACTCCTCTGGACACTATGAGAAGTCTCGGTCTTGCACCTGACACCACTGCACCATCTCTGGATTATGCCCTGGTGAGTGTATGAGGATTCCTCCTAGCAATACCAGGGTTTATTGGATCATCTTAGTCATTCAAGGGGTGTACAGTCAAGGAAATTATGAGCAAGGAAGGTGTGGTGTCAATAAAAAATGGAAACTTAACAACAGTAATTTTAATATGTCATCTACAAAATAATTTTGAACAAAGGAAACCAGCATACTCAGATTTTCTTCTGCTTAGTACATATATTAAATGATAAAATTTATGTTAAATATTTAGCACCACACATGGATAATACTGCCACTAGGAAGTACAAATATGTGTAAAGAAAGGTTTTTGACAGCTCAATTCAGTTTGCTTCAGCTTGTATGGCTGCCTATTTCTCACATTCATGTATTTTAGGTGTCTCTCTTGAAAAGCACATAATTAAACACATCTTTCTTAATCTAATCTGAGGTTTTCTATTAACCAACAGTTCTAAGCTGTTTATATTTCTTGCAATTGATATATTTCTACCACCTTATTTTGTATTTTCTAATTACCTTGCTTCATAAATCAAATTTATTCTAACTACCCCTCCCTAAATTGATTTGGAATTTATATATTTTAGTTGTAATCTTTAGTGTGCCCCCTTAAATTTTTAACATGTTATTTGACTTTAGATTTAAATTAATTAAGATCTCTAATCTTCCTGAACCGTCCTTAAAACAATGATCATGCCTTCAAATCTTAAATTATATTGTTTTTCAATATTTTTATTTCACTTTGTTTTTGTAATCTCAAATTATTGTGACTGTTGGTTTACACAGTGGCTATTTGTTTAGATTTACTTACATGTTTACAAATGTCTTTGATTACCATCTCTTCTTGCATTCAACCTTCTTTCGATCTCAATTTTATTTTTCCTTAAGTGCATCCTTTAGTTGTTCTTTTGGTAAGGGGCTGTGAGAAGTCAAATTTCTCAGTTTTGTCATAAAATGTCTTTCCATAGCCCTTAAGCTTGCATGACAGTTTAGTTGGTAGTATTATCTCTGGGTTGACAGTTATTTTCTCTCAGCTCTTTCAACACTTTACTTCGTTGTCTCCTGGTACTGGTCGGTATTGGTTGTGGGAATTGTCACTCCTCTGCAGATAATCTGTCCTCTCTCTCTGGTTACTTTTAATATCTTCATTTTGTCCTTGGGATTCTAAAATTTATCTTTGATGTGTTTTTCTTTTGCTTGGGAGTCTCTGTACTTTCTAAATGCAATGATTCATGTCTTTCTTTAGTTCTGAAAAATTCTCAGTTCCTGGGAAATTCATTTGAATATTTTCTCTCCTGATGTATATCCTAATAAGTGCATTTCAAATCTTTTTTATTTTATATCCCATGTCATATATCTTATAACATTTCTTTCATATTTTAAATTAATTTATCTCTCTGAACCACGTTGTGGGTGACTTCCTCAAGTCTGTGTTCTGGCTAACAAATTTTTTCCTCAACTGTTTCTAATCTGATGTAAATGTTATACCAATCAGGATAAGTGAGGCTATGCTACAATAATAAAAGTAGGAAGTCAAGAAACACCTGGAGTAACAAGCAAATTTGGCCTTGGAGTACAGAATGAAGCAGGGCAAAGGCTAATAGAGTTTTGCCAAGAGAATGCACTGGTCATAGCAAACACCCTCTTCCAACAATACAAGAGAAGACTCTACACATGGACATCACCAGATGGTCAACACC